GAATGGAGTAAGTAATGAAAGAGAGAGAGAGAAAGAGAGAGAGAGAGGAAGAGAGAGGAAGTGAGTGAGAAAGTGAGAAAGAGAGGGGAGAAAGTGAGAAAGAGAGAAGGGCAGAGAATGTGAAAGAGAGAGAAAGAGGGAGAAAGAGAGAGAGAGAAAGATCTATAAGTTGAAGTTGAAGTCTACATCTTATAGCTGAAAATCTCTCATCTGGATGGACGGAGCAGATAGATGGATGGATGGATGGATGGATGGATGGATAATACATAGATAGAGATTGATGGATGGAGTAAGTACTGAAAGAGAGAGAGAGAAAGAAAGAGAGAAAGAAAGAGAAAGAAAGAAAGAAAAGAAAGAAAGAAAGAAAGAAAGAAAAAAAAAAGAGGGAGAGAGAGAAAGTGAGTGAGAAAGTGAGAGAAAGAAAGAGGGGGAGAAAGAGAGAGAAAGAGAGAGAAGGGCAGAGAATGTGAAAGAGAGAGAAAGAGAGAGGGAGAAAGTGAAAGAGAGAAAGAGAGATCTATATCAGTTGAAGTCCACATCTTATAATTTAAACTCTCTCACCTGGATGGATGGTGCAATTGGATGGATGGATGGATGGATGGATGGATGGATAACAGAGATGGATGGGTGGAGTAAGTAATGAAAGAGACAGAAAAAAGAGAGAAACAGAGAGAGAGAGAGAGAGAAAGTGACAGAGAAAAAGAGAGAGAATGTGAGTGAGAAAGAGAGAGGAAGAAAGAGAGAATGAGAGAGGAAGAAAGAAAGAGAGGGGCAAAGAAAGTGAAAGAGAGAGAGAGAGAAACACACACAGAGAAAAACAGAGAAAGAAAAAGAGAGATGGAGAAAGAGACAGAGAAAGAGAGAGACAGAGAAACGGTCCTAAGTCCCTTTTTTCAGTGCCGTCGTAACTTTGAACATTCACTAAATGAACGGTTGTAAATCGAGGACTCCTCATACAGGCTGAAATAACCACTTCCCTTTCCTTCTTCCCATCAGGAGTAGTGACGGATAGCAGCTAATCCGGATTGCCAATCCCAATTCACACGGATGATCTTAAGCGAGGATTTGAAAATTGCCTTCCGTTCCTAGTTGGCTTGTCCGTCTCGCCGGAAATTTGGTGTGGGCCTGGAGGTTTTTTTTGCTGGTCGCTACCGACCTCGGATAAAGGAGGAGCCATCATGGCCAAATGGTTTAAGGATTACCTCAGTTTTGGGAGCAGGAGGTCTCCCCCACAGCCCCCCAAGCCCGATTACACCGAGAGCGACATCCTAAAGGCCTATCGTGCCCAGAAGAGCTTAGACTTCGAGGATCCGTACGAAGACGGGGACGGCAAAACTGATCCGGACATCGGAGGCACGCCAAATAAAGGGTGCGGCGGCTGCGGCGGCAATTTGGAAGGGAAATACGGGTCGCCCAAACACCGGCTTATCAAAGTGGATGCCTCCGATCTTAACCGGAGCAAGGCCCTCCTTGCCACGGCGGGCGAGGACTCGGCCGTCCCATCAGATCAGGTAAAATGCGATTTCTAGTCCCTCTCGTGCGTCCTGGGACCGTTTCGTTCTCTCTGTGTGTGGGATGAGCGGGAAAGAGGCTTCTGAAATTCTCTAGGTCGAGAATTTCACATCCCTCTGGAGCAGGGGTCTCCAACCTTGGCGACTTTACGACCTGGGGACTTCAACTCCCAGAATTCCTCAGCCAGCCATGCTGGAGGAGGAATTCTGGGAGTTGAAGTCCATAAGCCTTAAGGCTGGCTGGCTGGGGAATTCTGGGAGTCCACAAATTGTCAAGTTGCCAAGATTGGAGATCCTTGCTCTGAAGGTATTTGTGAGTTGTGATCCCGTGTCAAAGTTGAAATAGTGATGTACAGGTAGTCCTCGACTTACGACCACAATTGGGCCCAGAATTTATGCTGTTAAATGAGAAATTTGCCGAGTTTTGCTCCGTTTTAACGATTTCCTTTGCCATATTTGTCAAGGGAATCCCCGCCGTTGTTAAGTTAGCAACACGGTTGTTAAGTGAATCTGTCTTCCCCATTGACTTTGCTTTGTCAGAAGGTCACAAAACCTTCTGGGATGCTACGACCGTCGTTAATATGAATCACATGCCCAGCGCCCTAATTTTGATCACATGATCACAGAGATGCTGCAATTAAGATCGTTAAGTGTGAAGCGGCACCTTTTTTCAGTGCCGTCCTCACTTCGAACCATCGCTAAACAAATTGGTCACTCAACGAATCGGCCCCTAAACAAAAGGAAACATTTTTACAAGCAAGTTTGGTGTTTTTCTCTCCCTCTTTCCACCCGTGTCCAATTTCTGGGAATTTTTTGAGAAGAACTTTTGAGAAAGAACTCACAAAATTGAGTCTTAGTGGACAACCAGCGAAATAGGAGCCAGCCCTGTGCAGCAGCAGCCAAAAAAGCCAATGCAATCCTAAATTGCATTAACAGAGGGATACAATCGAGATCAAGGGAGGGACTAATACCACTCTATAAAGCCTTAGTAAGACCACACCTAGAGTCCTGCATCCAGTTTTGCACACCACATTATAAAGAAGATGTTGAGACTCTAGAAAAAGTGCAGAGAAGAGCAACCAGGATGATTAGGGGACTGGAGGCGAAAACTTATGAAGAACGATGGCAGGAACTGGGCCTGGCTAGTCGAGGGAAGAGAAGGACCAGGGGAGACAGGAGAGCAGTCTTCCAATATTTGAGGAGGGGCTGCCCCAGAGAGGAGGGAAGGGGTCAAGCTATTTTCCAAAGCTCCTATAGGCCAGACAAGGAATAATGGATGGAAACTGATCAAGGAGAGATTCAACCTAGAAATAAGGAGAAACTTTCTGACAGGGAGAACTATCAACCCATGGAACAGAAGTTGCCCAGAAGTTGTGGGAGCGCCATCGCTTGAGACTTTCAAGAAGAGATTGGACTCCCATCTATCAGAAATGGTGTAGGGTCTCCTGCTTGGGCGGGGGGTTGGACTAGATGACCTACAATGTGCCTTCCAACAGATTATTTGTTATCTGTTATCTGAGTTTTTAAATGGGTGCCGGTGTGTTCGCAGAAAAGAAAAAGGAAGCGAGAATAAAGATTATATCTTATTTTTAAAAGCAAGAAGATACTGTAAAAATTTCGACGCCACAAGACGCCGATGTAAAAATCAAATCGATGTGATGGATGTTACTGAAAACATAAGCCATTTTTTAAAAATAAAAAATAAAAAAACAGCAACTACACTCCGCCTGAAGTGCTTTGACTAGATCTGTCGTTGCCGGTTTGATCTGTGGCCGCCCTTACCACATCAATCGTGCGTTTTTGACACTCAGTTGTTGTCAAGTAGTTTGTGTGTGCCTGTGGAGAGAAAGGAAGCAAGGCTTCAGAAGAGCTGCTGACTAGCTTGTTTGAGGGGATAGTCCTCATTAAATTTGGAACCAGAGCGGTAGAGAGGAGAAAACAAAATGGAGCCGCTTCAATACACCGTCTAGAGGTTCAGGCACCAGATTAGAAACCGGGAGATGGTGAGTTCTAGTCCCACTTAGGCAAGAAACACAGTTGGGTGACTTTGGGCCAATCACCAGGAGATGGTGAGTTCTAGTCCCAC